GGCTGAGAGACCACCATTGCCAGGACTAGGACATGCCATATAGCCTCTCGTCCTTTTCAAAATGAAACTGAAATGAATTTTAGGTTTGGTCAGTAGATCTAGTGAACTGTTTGTTCCTTGTGGCCCTCTTATAAATAGATATTGACTACGTAGGGATATAACTTCTGTCATACTTCTCATAGAAACTGGAGGGTAAAATAATTTTGTGAATAATGGGAGTGATCGAGGGCTAACGCTGTGTAATCTCCCTTAGTGTCTACAGAGTTAGAGTAACTGTCACACCCTTAAAAAATTCACTTTTCTATATGGAGTTCCAGAACTTACCGAGTTCAGTGGGGAAAATATTTTCATAGATTTTTGTGAAGCTCTCTTGTGTTCTATCTTGAGTGGATGTCCTCTCAAGTGACTCATTACCGAAACATACCAGTGATTTATTCTGGTTGAGAGGATTGTGATACAACGTGATCACATCCTGTCTTATTATTATGCACCCCTCCGACTATGTCTTTATGGACTACATGCAAGACAATTAGGCTCTGTTCGTTATTCCCAATACCTTTTTAGTCTCTCTTCTTCGAACATGTTCCAGGAGATCGATATCTTACTCATGACAAGAGAATATAACTTGGTAGTATCTTTCAAAACGAAGTCTTAGGCAAACACCAAAAATAGCTTTTTTGTTAACTTTGGAGTCTGACAACTGGCTCTACTGTAAAGATTTCTCTAAACGAACCATTTTTTCTGGCTGCGTAATGCCACTTATAATAGAATCTCAGAGTATCACAGACTGGTACCTAGCAAAAGGAATTCCCAAGGGATTTCAAGATTAGTGGGATATCAATGCTGTTTACAACTGGCATTCTCCACTTATTGATGTCGGGATATGAGGAAGTCATTGTTACTCCAGTGATACATCCAATATAATTATTTTCAGAGTCGAAACATCATCTGAGACAACTAATCATCTTCAGACTACACTATCACCTACTTAAAGGAGAATTAGACAGTCTAGAAGGTTACTCAGGTTGATTGTAATCAGTAGGAACAGGAGTGGTTTAGGGACATAGCCTAATGACACTCCGGTCAATATAACTATTCTCTTTTTTTAATCGAAAGGTAGTATGTCCTTCATTAAGGAATCCTTTAACAAGGTAATAAGAGAGAAGCAAAGAAAGCCCACACACTCTTTCAGTAATCTGGGTCGTATACCACATGAGCCGGAGAATTTTTGTATGTTTATGCGCCTCAGAACCTGTTTGATTGTGAGTTCAGATTTCATGAAATTTAGATCACATGAAAAAATGGGGTGAGAGTCTTTGGACAGAGATGTAAGGGTATCATAGTACGAACACGACGCTTATTTGGGCACCCATAGCTAGTAGTGTCCGTTAAAGCTAACACTGTCAAATGTTTACACAACTATTTAATGGGGGTGGTAATTTACCGTTCCAACAGCATTACGCATACATCGACCCACGATTTTTATTTAGTGACTCGAAGATGTGATGCTGGATTCGTAGCTCTTAAAGTTAAGGATTCTCCCACAACTCTCTGACACAATTTTAAACAGGACGGCCCACTAAAACTGGGAGGCGCCAAGTCTTAAACGCTAGTTGCAAGTTCGATGGTCTAACTAGGTCCGTAGGAACAGCATAGAAGATTTTTCAAGAAGATGCATACATTAGTAGTCCGTTCGTTTTTCCAATAGCTGGAGACAGGAAGTCGCCTTAACATTTTTGATAGGAACAGTCTGTTACTCTTTATTATCGAGGTCAGTCCATAAATCGTCAGTTTATTTTTGAAAATTAGTTTGGGGTTGTGGGTTTTTAGAAATCAGAAACATGAAAGGTCACGTAACCTGATAATTATCCACAAACTTCTGGTCAAGCAGATTTTTGTCCGGGCATCGCAAATATTGGTGTAGTGGTTCGTGTGATTCAACCCAGAGTGTATATACAGCTTTTTAGTGTGTCTAACGGATGCCTTTTTTCATATTGCATATAGTTTTGACATCTTTTTCTGAACGATCGTCATTCGTGTTCATACGAATAGTCTGTCACTATTGTCTTAAAGCTACTGAACACGGCAATCCAGTCCTCGATATAGTCACTGGAATTGCTGAAGCGACGACTAAGGTGACATTACTTTCCAGTTAGACGAAAAGTTAAACACTGTTTGGTCCTAATATTCATTTGCTTTAGTCTAGTGCTCTGGGTTATATGGTTAAGCGGGACGTAACGGAAAAGATATTATAATAACAAGTGCACACTGGATTCCATATTATTCTCAGAACCAAATAATACCACCCCAAGTTTTGATTGTTCGTGCGTCATGACATTTCAACTGATTAAACTAGGAACTGCCGTAAAACAGTAATTGCTCAATCTGTAGCTATACTTGATAGACAATTTACTCAAGGTTCTATGTTGTCTAAAGTGAGTATTTATCCTGTATGAGGCGTGTAACTCGAAAAAGTGATGTTACGATGCTTATATTTGCCAGGTGCCATTTGTTGAGGGCTACTATCATGACTAACAGCTCATCACGAGGATCTGCGGCATGTTTTTCGCAGGTCTTAATGGGAGCCTTGCCGAAATTTTTTTACAAGTATCTTCTTTAATTTTGAACTGTTCCACGACCTCTAAAACGTGTAGATTGATATGAGCAGATGAATTTCCTCATGAATAAATGAAACTGTAGGGCTGGTAAGTGTGCATTCAGTGTTTTTTCACAAAAGATGTATTCATGGAAAGTGCAGATCCTTAATGTCCCATCGGATTACTTAGGTGAAATACTTCTCAAATAACGGTATTCTACTGTAATTACTATCAAACTCAAAGGGTCAGCTTCGTTTCAAACATTAATTCTAAGGTTATTTTACAGCATATATTTATTATAATACATAGCTTAATTATTGTGTTGAGTCCGTTCCGGGCCTTTTTCTGTACGAAATAGCTCTTGATATCCCCAATTTATTTTAGCGTATGTGTATTTTTCAAATAATATTTATTTGAAGTTATCGTCTCGCTATTTTAGGTGGAAAACACGTTCATCATAAATTCTGACTTGCATGCCAATTATTTGTGAGGGGTACAGAGGTCTGAGTAATATTTTTACATGTACAGAAGTGTCTGTTGGTGTCTATTCCCACCCACTCCCCATATCTAGTTGCACCCACTCTACCGCTTAAACATAAACATTCCGATTGGGTCGCATCCATTCGAGTAGTATAACTTAAAACCAGTTTAACCAACCATAATGTATCTTTTTGTTGCTGCAATCAATGAGTGTTTCTAATCGTCATTCTTTACCCTTAATGCTAACCTATTTTCCTATTCTTTCCTCTAGCTTTTCGCCATCGCCTATATCTATTTCCTTGCCTTGGTAACAAAATCTAGTCTTTGCACGAGTTTGTAGAACTCTGTACTTTCCTGCTGTTTACTCTGACCGGAATATTGTTCGTCTTTCTTGACTGAGCAACTTATTAAGTTATGTAGTTTTTCTACCTGATGGCTTGTATGGTAGCCCAAATGAAAGTTGGGTTAGCCAAATTAAACCCGGATTGTATGTTAGTAATTAAAACCCAAAAAAGCGAACTGTCAGTGTTCATCGCAGCTATACTCTTATAAACTTGTTCCTATTCGACTCCGTAACTACTGACGTGCACTAGTAGACGACTGTGCGGATATCACCCATCATCCAAAACATGTACTTGTTTTTTAACATGTTTACATTAGCTCCTGAATATAAACAGTAAGTTCAAGTCATACGCTCGTTCAGTCTCAGAAAAAAGAAATATTACTAAATGCTCAACCTTAAATTTTACCACAACTTATCTTGCACCTGCCCAAACAACTCAATATTAGTGCCTTCATGATCTGATATTATTATCTTAATCTAACCACTTTTAGCCCCTTCCCCACACATTCACATTATACCCTAAATTACTTATCGAAATACTTTGTGGTTGCAATCGTACAACTGACAGCAATCTTCGGATATTCTTAATCTCATCATGTGATTTGTACTTTTTATGCCGTGTTATTGCTTAGCACCAGGATCACTTAGTATTTCTGTGAAACAGTTAAACTGTCTCTTTTGTACTTATAGTAGATTTATACCTAATAATTACTAACATAGTCTATTTCATCATATTCTTGACACTGATATATTAAAACACTCGTCTGTCGTCAGTTTTTCATGCAGTCAAACGTGGTATGTTTGAATCTTGAAAGGTTATAATCCTTTAGTATTTTATTCGGGTGTTTGGATAATATTAGATGGACTAGTAGTCAACAAAAGCACCGAAATGAGTTTTCTGGGATTACCTGGCACTTCACCTTATCTTTCCAGCATTTTGAAGTGTACGAACATCCTTTAAAAGCTGAGGATACAACCCAGGAAATAAGAACGTTAGAGTTGGACATCATACTATATATGTCTCACAATAAATACATTTGAGGTATCGTTCATATTTCAACGAAAGCTAGGTTTATTTAGGGCGATGGTCTTACAAGTTGATGAAGTTTATAGTTTAATTGTACTAACCAGGGTGGTCTTGACATGTTACACCTAACCCATAATGTATGCAACTTTCAACAAGTAGTTACCCGCAAAACATATAAGGTCTTCAAGTTATAAATACGTTGTGCAAATCTTGACGTGTGTCCGTTCTACCGTTCGCCAAAGCTCAAGTTAAATTAAATTCTACTCTAGAAAATGTCGCCCTTGTGATGTTTTTTGGTGTTAATTTAGGAAGATCTTAATTGTAGACTCTTAATCATCAGCTTCAGGGTGCTTTTCATCTGACATTTAAATAATAAATCATGTATTTTCTTATCAATGTTGTTGTCTAGAGCTTTGAGCAAAGCAGTACGACTTCGAGTAAATTATTCGAATAATATCAAGTTTTAGAGGTAACTTTGATAACTTTATCAGTGATAAGTTATCTTTGGAGCGGTACAAGTTTTCAGTCCATTGAAATTCGTTTTTTATTAGACTGCAGATTTTCTGGGTAATGGAGATTTTGTGCAATTACTCTCAAAATCCAGTGGTTGGTTCGTCGAAAAGCAGTCACACGGAGCATGAACCAGTCTCAGTATCAGCCAAAGTGCAAGATACCACTGCTTCTCAGCGACGAAATATCAATTGCACGAGTTCAAATATCTTTAGTAGTCTTCAACACGCCCATCTTCCTGTAGCCTCCAATCCGAATGTCTTATTTAAGAACGAACTGACAGAAAATTACTCCGACAATTTGGCGCCGCGTATATCACCATACCTTCTTGGGATGCTCCAGTGCAGACCAGTTTCCTTACCTCTTACTCGGAACGTTGTGAAAGAGGGATGGCTTATGAAACGCGGCGAACATATTAAAAATTGGCGACGTCGATATTTCAAATTACGGGAAGATGGGACATTTTATGGATATAAAATTCAACCTAAAGTTGGTTTCAAATTTGTTTCGAGCTGTTTTTGTATTTATCTTGATATGATTAATTATTACTGTTTTTCTTCAATAACAATACATAATCTCAATAATTATTCATGCATCGAAAGCGAATCGGATGTACCTGGGAAAGTTTTGGTTATTCTGAACTCTTTATTATTATACATCACATTAACTCTCAGCTTATTACCTTATTCCTGGTCATCTCAGTCATTTGTTAAGTTCGTGGAGTCAACGCAGTTCTGTAAAGTATGATCTTAATAGTTTGCTCAATGAAGTTTGTGTATTTTTGTTGTCAGAACGTAACTTTGTTGATGGCCGAAGAAGCAAACTACAGACAAAGTGTGTAACAACTAAGTGTAACCTATGATACATATAAAACGTATTATATCGTCGCATCAATTACAAGCTGTCTAATATTTTCTTTTTTTACATTCAAAACTATGGCTATATTGTGTTTTAGGAGTTGTATTTGTCTAATATTGTTTTGTTTCCTATTTTATGCAAATCAAAAGATGATTGTCTAGTAAATTAAATTATTCACAAAAGTCTTCCTTGTTTGACAAATTAGTGAATCCCCACGAGTGACACTTTTTCAATCGACTAACATGATATATTTAATTTGTCTGTTAAGTGACAATTAGATCAGTATATGATAGTTATATATTTAGTTCTCCAAATATAATAAGTCTAATGAGTAGATATCGTCTACTAAAATACATAGTTTGCCAACATTTGTTTTTAGGATGATATGGCGCAACCTTTAAATAATTTCACTGTTCGCGACTGTCAAATTATATGTTTAAACAAACCAAAACCATACACATTTCTTATTCGTGGTTTACAATGGACCAATGTAGTGGAACGTTTATTCTTTGTCGAGACGGAAGCAGAAAGAAATTATTGGCTTAGCGCAATTCAAAGCGTCGCAAATCGACTCAAATCATCATTTGAGCAGCCAGTATCCGTACACAGTTTAGATTTGGCTGAAAATATGATCGTTGATATTCCTCAGAGGTTAGTTTAAACATAAAAACATGATTTATCATTAGATTAAGAAATCAATGATTATTACATATTTGGGTTTATGAAGTACTATTGAGGCTGATAAAACATAATTTAGCTCGGGTTTATCTATGCTAATTATTTGGGACAAATCAACCCTCCGTACATGTAGCTAATCACGGATGAAAGTACTCAAGTACGTTTTCTTATATTTGCAAATTTTTTCTACAAAAAAATACCTTGTGAAGGTTAGGATTGAAGTACAGTTTAAATTGTGAAGTTTACATGTAGTCACACAGATGTGACTTTTCCATGCATTAAAACATCGTTCAAATTACGATGACATATTATACAGTTAAAACGCGTAGTGCATATACCGGACCGATCCGGATGTTGAATTAAAAGTTGCAATGAGAACAGGCCAAAAATACTTTAGGAAAATTGGATAGTTTACTATCACTGATTTCTTATCAGAACTGTATCGAGTGCTTTTGGATTGTTATTCAATTTGTACATGAAAACTAGAGATTGTAGATAATATTTTCTAGGTCACTTTTCATTGCTGGTCACAACCAGATATGTATATATTCTGTATAATGACATTGAGAGTCTGTTCTTACCTTCTAGTCAGTAAAATACTCACAATGCATAAAATATTTTATTCCTTGTCTGGCCTATGTAATTACATCCAAAAATACATCATATACATTATCAGTCGAATACAAAGCATGTGATGATGACCTCTAGTTGGTGTCTAATAACTTTTAATGAGAAACCTGTCTAACCCTTTTGTCTTACTTTAAAATAACTTTTACTAATTTAGTCTAATCTATGGCGCGTGAATGAACTATGTTTTTTACAGTCACTCATTGAAATTATAACCATTGACTTGATTTGATTTTCGGTACTCATTGCCTTATTTATTTTCGTGCATACTTTCGTACGCTATTATTATTATTAACGTTACCATTATTATTATTATTATTATTATTATTATTATTATTATTATTATTATTATTATTATTATTGTTATAGTAATTCTATCGCTGCTTACAACCGTTTTATTATCTAACTACTCTTATTTTTATTCTACATAACTCCAACAATCCACATATATTGTAGTTATTGTTACTTGTTTTCTATCTATTTTGATTATTGTTTTTTAAACATTTTAATATTTTTTCATATTGTAGGCCTGTGAAACGTTATTCTGTAAATGACTTCAGACTTTTAAAAGTTTTAGGGAAAGGTACTTTTGGAAAAGTGATTTTGTGTCAAGAAAATGAAACAGGTCATTTTTACGCTATGAAAATACTAAAGAAATCTGTACTTATTGAAGTAAGTCGAATAGTCATAATTATTATTTCTAATTTTACAAGTCTATGTGTTTGATTCTGTTAAATGATCATCATTTTCACCTGAATTTTAGTTGGGTAGATCTAATAAATACTAGTAACTAAAAGTTAAGGGCTTTCATCAATTGCCTTGAAATGTAGCATTTTGCAGGTTTTTTATATTTCGTGAATTTCTCAACCATTTTATACGCAGTTTAAAAACCTACCTTTTCTCATTTCAGTTTAGACAATTAGATAGTGTTGTAATGAACAGGAATACATGCAGGAACAACCAATGTAAATACGAAATTACAGGATCTTGGTAAAATATAAGAGTCATACACTGAATACTTCATTTGCAAATTTTCATCATCTCTCCTTCACATTCTGTATGATTCTTCAAGTTCTCAATTCTTTTCTATTTTTCCTTGTGCTCTTTTCAACTCGATCTTCTTAGCCTTCTACTGCCAGGTTTTCCACTTCCAATCGGTGTTACATACTGCCGATGTCTGTCGACACAAGTAGTATGCACAGTATCAATGAAGTTTCGCTTAAGTCTGAGCTTATGAATCTGTGCTTAGTTATTAAGTTGCATTAAAATTAAACTTGTTTCTCATATTCCTGAAGTTATAAACCATATTACTTCGTACATTCAACAGAGCATTACATCAATTGTTATCTGTTAGACACCTGATAAACTATTTTTATATAGCAACAATTGTTATGGTTTTTTTAAAAACCAACGATGATTACTGTTTACTATTATTGTCATTATTATTATTATTATCGCGTGAGTTCATTATTTTTTTGCATTGTTTTTTTGCCACATAATAACAGAAAGAAGAAGTTGTTCATACAATGACTGAAAATCGTGTGCTACAACAATGCAAACATCCATTTATGACAGAGCTACGTTATTCATTTACTACACCTAATTATTTATGCTTTGTTATGGAATATGTTAATGGTGGTGAATTATTTTTTCATCTACAACGCGATCGTGTATTCTCAGAAGAAAGAGCTAAATTTTATGGTGCAGAAATTACTCTGGCTTTAGGTTATTTACATCACCAGAATGTTGTTTATAGGTAAGGAGAAAAATACCTTCGAAATCAATTTTATATATATATATATATATATATATATATATATATAGTGATTTACATAATCTCTGTTTTTTTATAAGTTATACTTCATATAATTTTGATTTTAAGAAGTACTCGGGGATAGTACTTTTTCTCAAATGTAGCTTTTTACTTTGACACAGTTTAAACTTATATATTATGACAACCTGATCAAGACATATTGACTGAAACGCTTGTTCTTTAATAACATGTTACATGAACCTGGTTAGATGGAAAGAGAAATATGGTCAAATGCTTTTAATGGTAACTCATAGTTTAAATTGTTGAATTATGGGTCTGCTACCTAACAACTTTTATCAAATTGGAATAGATAGCTAACACATTTCTGTCTAAAACAAGCAAGCAAGCACGAATATTTACTTTTTTCTGTTTGCAAGTATAAGGTGTTGTTTCAAGACACTTTATGAATACTTGGTTGGACAATATACTGTGAACTAGTTCAGTTTATTGACCCTTTCATTTACCTTCGAAGCCTTAACAATTCTTACAGTAGATTTTTGTTTTTATATTCAAAGATTTTATTTCTGAGCGAGAATAATCTTTACAACACTTGGTGTTTTTTTATTCTTGCTCTAACTTGACCAGGGATCTTAAATTGGAAAATTTATTGTTGGATAAAGATGGTCATATAAAAATCGCTGATTTTGGTCTGTGCAAAGAAGACATGTACTATGGTGCATCAACTAAAACATTTTGTGGTACACCAGAATATTTAGCACCTGAAGTTTTATTGGATAACGATTATGGGCGTTCAGTTGATTGGTGGGGCCTTGGTGTAGTAATGTATGAAATGATGTGTGGACGTTTACCATTCTACTCAAGTGATCATGAAGTTTTGTTTGAATTAATACTGCAAGTAAGTTAGCCGTAACTGAATTTTGTTATCATTGTACTCTTCTATTTTTTTTGATATTTCAAAATAATAGAGATTTCAGTTTATTATTGCTTTGCCAAATCAGTGTTATCTTTATTCAGAAATGCCAGACTTTCTCATTTTTTTTCTGAATGTCAAAGCGATCATATCATGACTTAAGTTTCTTTTATTAATAATAATTGCTAATCAGCTGTACATCTATATTTGTTAATTATGTCTCAATCGAAGTTCATACTTACCAAAAAGTTATAAAATCCTATTGGATTGTACAATTTGAAACATCTTATCAGTTTATCGATGAGAAACATACGTAATTCCTATCACTTAATGAGCCATATTTCCAACCTTTCGTCATCCACATGTTATTCACTCTTAGCAAGACAAAGTGAAGTATTGTGATTTTTGGGAAATGTTTTGGTAGATATGAATATCTCACTAAAGTTAGATGTGTCACAAGTGACTGAATCCTGATCAAGCTTGCTGTACGTGTCTTTTCATTCTCTTATATTACCAAGAGTGGAAATAGTGTTTTCCTACTTGGCATGGTCTCATTAAATCATGCGTCTTCGGCCTCTCATGAATAGTCCTACTTACTCCACTAACTTTGGTAAGATGTTCCTGCAATACTAGAACGGAAACAGACGTTTGGTGGTTAGACATAGCCGAAGGATACGAAAGGTTTACTTAAAAGAGTTAGGAATCCCTGATTCCAGACAAGTGATCCATACTAACCTTAAGGCCCTGGAAAGCCCAGTGCCTACCTTGACAACCAGCTGTCACGACATTGTATCTGGCATCTTCTCACTACCCTGTAGATAAAGTATGTAAGGCAATCCCTTGAGAAAACTACCTAGTTCATTTAAACATCCAGAATTTGTCAGAACCCTCACATTAACCATGACAATTGTAAATGTAAAAATGAAGAGTCGGTATCGAATATGTGGTCTCCGCTCTGTCTTTTGACAATGATTGCCACTTTTTTATGACTCAAATCTAGATATCTTACTATATCAAGCGTTCAATAGTTTGAAATTTTCTATTGTTCTGTGTGGTAGATATCAAGTGGGTTGTTACAAATAATCTTAATGTTTATGCAAATATTTTGGCAGTAATGGTCATTCAGATTATATCGTATTTTGTCATTTTTAATGCTTTAGGACAATGTCTCCTTCCCAGCTCGTCTTTCACACCCAGCTCAAGATATCTTGTCTAGACTTTTAATTAAAGATCCAACAAGTCGACTAGGTGGTGGAGTACAGGATGTTTTGGAAGTTATGGCACATTTGTTTTTTGCGTCAGTCGATTGGGATCGTTTAATAAGAAAGTATGTTGTATGTATGTATTTCTAGTTTGTCATTTTCATTATGTTCGAGATATATCAATTGTTTAAATTAGTAACCAGAAAACTTGTTATAGTAATGTTAATTTCTGTTTCGAATACAACTACTAAAACTATTCATTTACATTGGTTGTTTGGATCTTTCCATTGATGTTTAGGACTGCATTTGATCAGTCTCGTTCCACATATGTGTATCCTGTGCGGACTGCCTCGATTTTGTCATTAAGTCATAGTCATTATAAGCATTGATGGATGGTGGCTAGCAGTGGAATCCAGGATGAACGTTTTGTCCTGGATCCCACTGCTACCCACTATCCATCTCTGTTTATAGTGCTTTGAAATTAGTGACAATTCATACAGGATACACATATGCGAAACGAGACTGATTACTTGCAATCCTAAACATCAGTTGGAAGAATTAAACTAATACAAATGAACTGTACATACTTCATTCAGGGACGACATTTCAGCATAGTTTGCTAGGTTGTTAAGATTTAAGTTATAAATTTAATGACAAATACGACTCACGTGATTTTCTAAATTTGTTATTTTGTTTCATTTTTCTTCGGGAAAGAATATTTCATATCCATGGCTTGCTAACCGTATATATATATTATTTATTTATTTTAACACATAGATATTGGTACAAGGAGGCACCAAATACATATGCGCCACACAAATCTCATTCGATATGTGTGAGGGCTGTGATACTGCCCGGGTGCCCAAACCGAAGCAGGTGGTTTTCTTAGGGGGCCACTCCCCGAGCCTTCGACCTAAAGGTCTGATCCACAAGGCAGTGGAGCATCGTAAGGAGATGCAATCCCATGGAAGCCGGTGACCAACGATTGGTTAATACGCCATTTGTTCCCGCAGGATACTGGAGCCCATGTGCACCATTGGTTTGGAACCCGGTTAAGGCGTCGGACATTCGCTTTTCGTCCTCTCAATTTCGTAAACAATAGTAATGCCACAAGAAGGCAGTGAGTAGGACTTCCCTGGCAGAGACTATATACGCGTGGCCATGTGAGAGCATTTGGAGAGGGAGAGGGGACTCTCCCCACTCTCAGCCGTACCAGGGCATTTGGTGGCAAAACTAATATATATATGTTAAAACACCTATTTACTTACTCATCTACACTTTCAGAGATATTCAACCACCATGGAAACCAGACGTGGTCGATGAAAAAGACACAAAATATGTCCCAGATGAATTCAAGGATACGTCGGTCGATTTGACTCCTCCAAACGATGATGAAGATAATATGAATCGAATTGTCGATGGACCATATTTTGAACAATTCAGTTTTCATGGAAGTCGACAAAGTTTGAATAGTAGAGTCAGTGGTTATAGTTTTGGTGACACATTTTAATAATGTGTATTTTACTACAAGTTCAATTGACTGCCTCTTACATGATATAACTTTCTATGTACAAAAAAGAAGAAATGAAGAGAATGTTATTATAACTAATATTTTTCAGATAGATGAACAGACAAAAAAACATTTTAGAGCCTGGAATTGTGTGTATATCCTCTGATTCCGATTATGAAATATGTATAGATTTATTTTCATATTCATTCATTTTCACCTGGTTTTGCTTATTTTTCTTTCCTTTTTCGAATACTTGATATTATGACATAAATTTTATGTGAATTAAATATGTTTAGTTTCAATTGGTCTTAGAGGTGTGTAACTTTCATCTCCTGTTATTTTTCATTGAAACTTATTATTTCATTGCCTCGCTTATTTTATTATTATTAGTATCATTTTATGTGTGTGTTTTTGTGACATTTACAATTTTGGTAAGATTAAATCTCAATTGTTGATGTTGTTGTTGTTTTTATTATCTGCATCAAGTTGGTTTACTATTTTCACTATTTAGTTAATCTGTTTCCTTTTTATCTCCTTCTTTTTTTACTGTTCCCCTCTACTATCTCACATCATTTTAATGTTGTGTTGACGTGTACACATACGTCTCCTTTTATGGATTTCCCCCTTTTTTTATACATAAATCTGTCTATACGTACTATTGTACTATTGTTGTTATTGTTGTCTTGTAGTCGTAATAATTTAGGTTCATTCTACTTCGTGTGCATGTTTATGTATTCTGACACTAGGTTTTATTTTAGTACCTACAAGAGAATTAAACCTTTCTTTCTAAGACGAAAATTATCCTACATTATCATTTGGTGCATCTAGAGCTGATCACCCCGCCCCATTGTTCAACGAAACAAATACCAGGATCAATGTAGACAGTATTACAATAGTCATTATTCAGTTGTATGATTTTTATTGATGAAATTCAATATATCTAATTCATAGAAATAAAAAATTATATTGAGTGTTTCTCGTTTTTTACTCATTGTGTGTCTGTTTGTGTTCGTGTGCTTGTTTTTGTCGACATATTAAGTTTACCATAATCTATAATTACCATTTACTGATTTTTCTAGATGGAGTATCTGTTACATTTTAAAAATATGCATTTCTTTCCCAGTTGAGTAGTTTTTTATGTTGTAAGTAGTCGGTCAGTCATCCTTGAGTTCATGCTTTTCAACTTCAATTTTATTGTTTTTTTTTAATATTTAGGATAATCAATTAACTAGTTCTTTGTCAGCAGTTCTCCAGATAGTTTAAGCATTAATTGGATAACTATTAAAATGTGGAAATATTGCGTATTTTCTTCAATCATTAGATTATTTGATATTACACACCATTTTATGTCTGCTACCATATCTGTGTTTTCAAAATATTATATGTATATAATAGTTTAGATTCTAAACGTCAGTTAATTGATTCTTTCACTCGATATGTATAACTTATCGTATTTCTTATTGATATTCACTAACATCCTGGAGTTCACAATTCCAACAATTCACCCTAGTGCCTTATCCTTAACTTAACAGATTAATGACATTGATAAGTGACGTGTTCATGATGGCTTTTCAGAATAAGTATAAACAATTTTCTTAAGAATTTTCCTTTAAATATGAATAAATAGTTTCACAGTGGTATAGGACCGATTAAGTATAATACATAAAAAGGAAAGCTTATGTGTAGAAAACTAGCAATTTAAATTAATCCAGCGTTTCGCTCAGTAGTCTGGTCTTAGTTTCAAATCATGTATTGAACATATTGTCCAGTCATAGGAATAATGTTGTATGAGTATGCGTCATTTGTTGTGAAATATGATGGAATTGTGTTTGTATGCGTGTGTAGTATGTAGATCTGATATGATATTTAAAAAATCCATTAACCAAATATGTCCTTAGGTTATAGTCGTTGATGAAATTAGATGGTCTGGTTGGGTGTTTTTAAATTAAACTTGTCACAACATACATAACATAAAGACAAATAAATAAAAGTTCTCACTGTTTCAGGGCTACTCATCAGATGCAAATGGTCTAGATTTACATTATTATTAGTATTATAACAAAAATTAACTTGAATTTTATGTCAACTAGCTCCCTTGATTTGTTAAAAGCTTGTTTCTGTTGGTTGTCTCTTTTATATTTTACAACTTCACTCCTTTCTCTTATTTTATGATTTCATTCTCAGCATATAAATACTAATCAATTTTAACTATTATATTAAATATGTTGTTTCCTCTTCTGGTTTCTTAATTCCCTTTGAACTAAACTTGATTGATTATGGTGTGTAATAAAATTTCTTTAGAATAACATTACTAATGTGAATTTAGACCATTTTCAACTGATGCAAAGTGTTAAACCATAATGAATTCATTTTACTCTGCAAATATTGTTCCCACTTTACTTGAATTTATCCAGGAATTAGAACGTATGAAATAAATGTTTGTATTGTTCTGTTAAACAAGTTGGTTGCTCATTATATATTTAGACCAAATAACAAATGAAAATTTATCATTATTGTCCATATAATATGAGACAAATTAAAAGTAATAAAATAAGATATAGATTTACTTATTAATAGGACATTTTATTGTACTCCATCTTTTCTATTTTTATTGTTTGGATTCTCCCATATATGTAGGACTTTAAATGTCACTTTTTTGTTTTATGAACCAAAAACTTTCTGAAAGGATTATCAGTATAGGGGTTATGGAGATTATTAAGTTTTTGATTAAGATCATGAACCGATTGATGTTAGACCACCGTTGGAAACCTGGAAACACTGGACGGCCGTTTCATCCTATTGTGGGACTCCTCAGCGGTGCGCATCCACAGTCCCGCTCGCGGGATTCGAACCCAGGCTCTTCGGTCTCGCGCTCGAACGCTTAACCTACTGATTGTTGCTCCATCGAAATATATACTGATTCTACGAAGTTCAATATTGTCTTCTATTTATTTTCAGCATTTTCAGCAAATTTATTAGTCATTGTCTAATTAATATGAATTTTCTACCGATTTATATGTTGTAGTTCCAGTAAGTATATATCTAGTGATTAATTTGACAAAGTCTGTAAAGAGGAAGAAATAAAGAGAATATTTATCATAACTATACTTTTTAGAATAGATGGATAGATAGACAGAAAAATAATTTACAACCTATTTGTTATTCTTTGTGGTTTATTCAATATCTACATCTGACTTTCTATAATGATCTTGGTTTTAATTTAGTTTATATTCTATTGATTACAATAATTGAACATAATCTCCAAAGTAATAATTAACTGATCTTGATTTATTGATTTTAATAATGTGTACAATTGGTGAATATTGAAAAAAAAGTTTTTAGTCTTAATTATTTGTCTGTATTTAAAATGTCTTAAATTCTTACTTGTATTATTTTTTTCGTTGTTTCTTTTCTTTCCAGAATTAATTCTTTTCACGGAATTCTGTGTGTGTATGGTACTTCAAATTAGTTTCTAGTATGTACATTATTGATAATATAATATATTCACATTTACTTTTTGTTATATTTATAATGTGATGATTATGCGCATCTGAATCCTAACCAGGTTTCACTTTAATGATTGATTTTGTGAATAGTGAGTTTGATTGTTTGTTTTGATTGTTGATGCTTGTTTTAATTGTTTACCTAATTGATATCTGTCTGACTGTTATTTTCGTCTGTGAATGAATGATTTTGTCTGTTAATCAGTCATTAATAAAGTGAACTATGGTTTTATGGGATATTGATTCATTAGTTTTCAATCTGATTATTGCTTTGTAAATTTATTCATTCCAAATAAACACAACCTATTTCACATAAACATTTATATTTTTCATTCTTGATTATTATAGATAATAGTAAATTGTGACAGTAAGGGAATTTCAAGCAACTGTGCAACTCGTAAGTAATTGTTTAAATTCATAATTCATTGTAAAATTCTTATTGATTTATAATACTTTGGTATATTTACTTTGCTAATAAGAGGATAGTCGGGCAATGGAGGTGGTTACTTCGTTACCGAAAATTACGCCTGCTACGGTGGGTGGCCTGCCTAACCAGTGGGACGGGAGGACCTCCTTCGCCGTCCCGTCATTTGCCTCCAAATGCCCTGGTACGGCCGAGAGTGGGGAGAGTCCCCTCTCCCTCTCCAAATGCTCTCACATGGCCACGCGTATATAGTCTCTGTTCGTCATCTCCGCCTATGCCCCGACAGATTGCAGCCCGGATGCAATCAAGGATGAGTTTTACCACCAGTTATCAGTTCTTCTCCAGAAAGTGCGTTCGACAGATATTGTAGTACTAGCCGGAGACTTGAATGCTCAGGTCGGGCGTCTAGGCACAGAAGAGAGTCGTTTAGGTGGCCGATGGGGACTCGTTGGTCGCAGGTCAGATAACGGGGACCGTCTACTGCAACTTTGCACAGACCACAACCTGTTTCTGGCTAGCACTAACTTTCGGCACAGTCATCGCCGATGTGCCACCTGGCGTCCTCCCTCTGCATCTCAACCCTGGACTCAGATTGATCACATCGCGATCAGCTACCGCTGGGGTGGTTGTGTACAAGACTGCCGCTCCTTTTGGAGTACCTATCTGGACTCTGACCATGCCTTGGTCTGCGCCAATCTTGCCTTACTTTTCAGTGGACAACGAAGTGACCGCCATCAACGGATTGATGTTAGCAAGCTGGTTGCAACTTCTGTTGCAAGTAAGTATCGAACCGAGCTAGCCTCTAGGCTAGCTACCACTCCACCGAAAAGTATAGATGAGCATTGGTTGCAATTGCATGACGCCATGAAAATGGCGGGGATAGTCAGTTGTGGGTTCGCGAAACGTCCCGCTTTTAAGCACTGGGTTTCTTCTGGTTCCTTACAACTCATTGAAGCCCGTCGGTCTACTCCGGGTGACCGTGAGTTTGACCATAAACGAAGGATGTTACGTAAGGAAATTGGGCAAAGCTTGCGTAAGGACCGAGAAGCCTGGTGGTCGATGCGTGCTAATGAGCTGGAAGCAGCAGCTGCATCTGGTAACTACCGGAAGCTCTTCCAGCTCATCCGAGCCACTGGCAGCAAGAAGTCTGGTGTGAGTGAAACAATCTGCGAGGATGATGGGATGCCAATCACTAACATCCATCGACGTCTTGGACGGTGGGCAGCATTTTTCGAAGGGCAGTTCAACTGGCCTGCTGCTCTGGCAACATCGGTCAGACTGTCCTGCCCTCCATGGCCGGTGACGACTGATCCACCAAATGAGGAGGAAGTCCGCAAGGAACTCCAACTCTTGAAGCGTTACAAATCACCTGGCCCAGATGACTTACCTCCGGCTCTTTTTAAAGATGGTGGTGACTTTTTGACTAAGGAATTGACGACGTTGTTTACAAAGGTTTGGGAATTAGAGAGTGTACCAACGTCATGGAATGAGTCGATAGTTGTCCCTATCTTTAAAAAGGGTTCACGTCGTTCTTGTAACAACTATCGGGGGATAAGTTTACTTCCGATTGCGTCCAAGCTATTGGCTTCCGTCATTCTTTGTAGGTTGTTCAAAACCCGAGAAAGATTGACTCGCGAGGAGCAGGCTGGGTTTCGTTCTGGTCGAGGATGTATTGATCATATCTTCACCCTCCGCCAAATGTTAGAACACCGCCATACTTTTCAAAGGCCAACAATCGTAGTGTTTCTTGACATCAGGGCTGCCTTCGATTCGTTGGATAGGACTGTTCTCTGGGATTGTCTATTGAAGAAGGGTGTGCCTGAGAAGTTTATTAACATCCTAAAAGCCCTATATAAAAACACCTCAGGCAGAGTGAGGGCATACAACCACCTCTCTCCATTGTTCCATTCGAGCAGTGGGGTTAGGCAGGGTTGCCCAATCTCACCATTCCTCTTCAACTTTGCCATCGATGACATTCTGGAAACAGCTCTGATGAATGTAAGTAATGGTGGTGTGGATCTGTTGCCTGGAGAAAGACTTCTCGACCTTGAGTATGCGGACGATATTGTCTTACTGTGCGATAATGCCCAAGGCATGCAATCCGCACTTAATCAGTTGGCAATCAATGTCCGTAGGTATGGTATGTGCTTTGCACCTTCGAAGTGCAAAGTACTTCTACAAGACTGGCAGGATTCTAATCCTGTACTCACCCTGGATGGTGAGCAGATAGACGTAGTCGAGAAGTTCGTGTATCTGGGTAGCTGCATAAGTGCTGGTGGGGGTGTGAGTGGTGAGATCAATGCACGAATAGTGAAAGCCAGAGCGGCTTATGCCAATCTGGGCCACCTTTGGCGCCTTCGTGATGTTAGTATGGTCGTAAAAGGTCGGATCTACAACGCGTCGGTGAGAGCAGTTTTGCTCTATGCTTGTGAAACCTGGCCTCTCCGAGTTGAGGACGTTAGACGACTCTCTGTGTTCGATCATCGCTGTCTCCGAAGGATTGCTGACATTCAGTGGCAACACCATGTCAGTAATGCAGAGGTTCGGCATCGTGTGTTCGGGCACAGAGATGATAACTCAATTGGTGTCACCATCTTGAAACACCGACTTCGGTGGCTTGGACATGTTCTCCGAATGTCGTCCCAGAGAATTCCACGTCGTGCATTATTTGCCGACTCTGGGACTGGTTGGAAGAAGCGGAGAGGTGGTCAGTGCATGACATGGTGTCGTGGCATGAAAGAAAGCTGCAAAGGACTGGCTTGTGTTGGTCCTTCACGACTCCCTGGCTGGGGTCCGAGAGATGGTGCTACACAGTGGCTAGAGACGTTATCAGATATGGCTCAGAATAGAAGCCAGTGGCGATCCTGCTGTAACCTTCTTTTACTTTCTTCATAAAAAGTGGTTGTGTCTCCTTTACCTGAAAGATTTCTTCTGATTGTACCTCTTCGTCATTACTCTCTTTTTCTTTTGCGTTTCTTAGTTTTTTTTCTTTTTTTTCTTTCTACTTCTCTTCGAATTCCCATTGTTTTGTGTGGCGCATATATATTGGCGCTCTCTTGTACCAATATTTATGTGTTCAAATAAATAAAATATATAGTCTCTGCCAGGGAAGTCCTACTCACTGCCTTCTCGTGGCAGGAGTGTTGTTTACGAAATTGAGAGGACGAAAAGCGAATATCCGGCGCCTTAACCGGGTTCCAAACCAATGGTGCACATGGGCTCCAGGATCCTGAAGGAACAAATGGCGTATTAACCAATCGTTGGTCACCGGCTTCCATGGGACTGCATCTCCTTACGATGCTCCACTGCCTTGTGGATCAGACCTTTAGGTCGAAGGCTCGGGGAGTGGCCCCCTAAGAAAACCACCTGCTTCGGTTTGGGCACCCGGGCAGTATCACAGCCCTCACACATATCGAATGAGATTTGTGTGGCGCATATGTATTTGGTGCCTCCTTGTACTAATATTTATGTGTTAAAATAAAAAAATAAGAGGATAACAAATCCATATTCGCGAATAGTAGTGTACATGAAGAATAGTGGGTCCAGGTATTCGGTAACAAGGTTAACGATTCATGTGAAAATAGATTGATAAAAATAATAATCACTTTATCGTCTAGTATACATGTAGTTCGAGTAAGAAATTTTTAGACCGAAATTGAAACCACTACAATGAAGTCTAATTTATGTGTGTGGATTCTGATGCATTTGTTACTCGTTTTGACAGAGAAGACATGTAGAAAATGTGTACCAACTGTTGTGTTGCCTTCATTTGAGTTTTCCATGAGATCTGGTGTTAATTGTTTGAGATGAATTCGTTGTGTTTAAGTTTCTAGGTGAATGATAATATAGTACATTTCTATTGTTAGAAATTTTTTCATGTCTGCTGTCACACTGGCGTGATGCAATATTTAATCACGAAAATGGGAAAATAGGCTATTTAAACATTATAGATTGAATATACTATCTAGATTCGTCAAAGCAATATGACTGAACTTTTAATTCAGAAACAGAAAAATTATTGGGGGGAAAAGTGGTGTATAAGTGATAATTATGTTGAAATCATGAACCGATCTAAGTTAGAGCACCGTTGAAAACATGGAAGTACTGGACGGCCGTTTTATCTTAATACGAAACTCTCCAGCAGTGCCCATCCACGATCCCACCCGCGGGATCGTTTCTTGATGTCAATGAAATTCAACAAGTTACACAAATCCTTACTGATAATTAATTAGGATGAATAACATGTCACATTGAAATGATGATCCTCTCATTTCATGTCCCGAAGGTAACCAAACAATTTAGTCATGAATATGTTACCCATAGGGAATTCTAATAATCTTCGGATATTTCGTTTCTTTTTGTCTTACCCTAGAGAAATGGGGTTCGTATTGAAGCTTCCTGTACGACTTTTGACTTCACTTGGCGGTTCATTGAAAGCTTCATCTTTGAAGGCTGCAGTGGTATGTCCAAACACTTTTATATATGTATCTGTGTAATTCTGTAAAAATAAGATTTGTTTGAAAATACCTATGTCTAGAAAATAAACAATAAATTTATTGTTTCTGTATTTTGTAACGTAATCGGATTCACAAAGCTTTTGGGTTGAAGACTTTCTAGTTAAAATTTATCTCCAGCCATTTCACCGATAGGTACACTTCTGCCGGTCATTATACTCGTTGAGATCCCGTGTGAATAGGTCGTCATCCAATGTTCAGTTGTATGATCCCGTCCGAGTATTGGATTCATCATCTAGATTGCCTATTTAAAACTGATGATCTGCTAATCAAATGACACGACGGCCTTCCTTTGACCAACAATTCGATGACGTTGAGATAATAGCCATGATCAATACTTAAAGCCTATTGGTTCAGAATATAGTTCTTCCACACCTGCTTGCCCGATAGCTAGAATAGAACAACAGCAAAGTAGATAAATGACCTCTATTTTTACAGTTGAATTAATAAATCAGGATAATGTGATCTGTATAGACTAATTTTCAGACTGCACATAAACATAAATCGGAAATTACAATATGGACATAGGTATACCGTATGTGAAAGAGATCGAAGTAATAGATGTATAGTTAATTAACAGTAACTTAAGGGAAAAAAAAGCAAAACAATATTTTCTGTACTAGACAAAAGCTTGCAGCTAGGATAATATGAATGTACAATAATCCAAATGTCTAATTATTATACAATAAAAATGTAAGTGATAGTCCCACTCCATTATAACACTAATCATATTTATTCATGCATTATTTTTGCTTGTATCACATTTTTAGTGTACAAAACATCTTGTCGCGTCACCAACTTTCTCTCAGTTCAATTATGTTATCTGTAGACAGTTTTCTAATACCCCATCAGACAATTCTGTAAACAATGTTTCTGATTTAGTAAAAGGAAGTCGTATTGTGCTTTTTATGAAAGGGAATCCCAGTGAACCACGATGTGGTTTCAGCAATGCTGTTTGTCGTATCCTAGAAATGCATGGAATTCTAGAAAAAGCAAGTAAAGGAGATGATCCAGATCTGTTCGCATCGTATGATGTCTTAGAGAATGAAGACCTACGAGCTGCTGCTAAAGTGTTTGCTGACTGGCCCACTTTCCCTCAGTTATATTTCGACGGTGAATTTATTGGTGGTTGTGATATTCTTTTAGATATGCATCGTTCTGGGAAACTGACGGAAGAATTAGAACGTCTCGGTATTGGGTCTGCTTTAGCTAAAGTATCAGACAAAGAGAAAACATGATTGATTATCTTTTGATATTTTCAGTTTGTACAGTATCCCTATTTTCTGTTTGATAAGAATATGTTATACTGCAGCGCTGATATTTAGTCTTAATTTTACCCATAACATGTAGTTAGTATCTTTTTGTATGTGCATTACTGTGACTGCTTTAGGTTTTCATTTGCAATTTTTGAATTTTAGCAAACTATTATTTGACGAAATGCAGTAGTTATGTATTATAACGAATGATATTACATTTTGTTGCTTAAGCTATTGTGCGGATTCCGTTAAACCAAGCACAGCTTACCTGCATATTCTAAAAAGAAATATCATCATAACATCATAAACTTCTCACAATTGAAAATTCACTTTTACATGAAGCGCTCATTCTGGCCTTATGATCTTCTGCTTGAATAATGTTACATTTACAACGAATGGTGTTCAGCTTATTTATATATCTCACTGCGTTAAGGTTGCTAGTAACCTGGAATTTTCAAGCAGACCGATTTCCTGATCTTGTGACTTATTAATGATTTTTGCAAATTAGTTGACATTTTGTAGCGTTTTGAGTATAGTCTCTCCATTTCACTATATCAGATGGTTATTCTCATTAAGTTCAAAGCGGCTCTCTCATTTGAATTGTAGTAGTTTTAAATAAAATTTGCGGACAGTCAAAATGAGGACATCGGAAAATAAAGACTTAAGGTTTAATTGTACTAGTGTCCATTTGCTGTGGTCGGTTTCATCCCTCAAGATAGCTTACAAAATTTAGTACTTTTGAATTTGTGTACAACTGTGTCGAGATGTTTTGAACTCCTGTTTCGCCTGGTAGTTTTTGCTTAATGTAGTAATGTGCATGGAATTCGGTCGGGGTCGAGTCGCATTTCCCTTGTTGTTGACATCCTTATCAAACCAGTCAAAATTTTAAAGAACTTTCTCAAATAATCTCTAATAATTAGGATGTAAAGTCAAGCTTCCATACCATTCAGGATATTATTTAGTTGTGTTTCTTGTACAAGCTCTTCCTACCGTCTCTAGCTATTTTATTTTCATTTACTTCTTTCAATAGCAATACATCTCAACAAATATACCACATTCTTTCTCTTTTGCGATTGTTTTAATGTTGGTAAACTGTAAAGTATACTGGTTTAACGGCTCTGTATCCGCTCTTAAGATGTTTTTGAAAACCTTAAACAGTATATCATGCACTTGAGATTATTTGAAAAGTAGACAACTTGATAAGGTTTAATTCAAGAGAAATAAACATTAAAAGTTTGTCGAACTTTCTTTAAAAATATCGATCATAAATTTTAAATGAGTTGTAAGATAGACGTTTTAATAAGATCGGCCTTACTTCTATTCCCCTCCAGTCCTTATATTTTAATGATAAGCTTTTTTAGTATAAAGTGCACTCACATTTGTAGCCAGTTCATCGTTATATTGATAATATATCCATAATTCACTGTCACATGCTCTGTATAAACGCCTATAGTATTCATGCAGCTCAGTAATTCTAGACTCACGTACTGTATATCTTAGTCAATTATATTCACCTAGAACTATGCAGATCAGAAGGGAGAAATGTTTAAAGAAACCACTTACGAATCTCGACGGGTATATCTGTAGCATTAATTTATGTAAGACTGCTGAAAGTTAGTCAGTCAGTAACAACGTACAACTTCGTATGTACGTACATCAGTTCGAGTTGCCATACCACATTAGCACAGCGATGCAGTTGTCGATTCAAATCCCGTAGTAGTAGAGGTAGTAAGAGTATAAGCAGTAATCGGAAGCATTAAGGCTTGAAGATGTTATTCAAGGAGTATAATAAAGTGAAGTGAATTTGGAAAGAAAATCAGGGACATGAAGAATCCAGAAGATTAGAATTTGGGAGAACATAAAGAGTGGATGCACTTGCGCCATTGCAAACGATTTTGAGCCATGTAATTCAAGGTCTCTAACCATCGGTTGCTATCGTCTCGCGAATCCCAACCAGGTAGTCTACACATACCAACATAGGTCAGTCCACTTGTCAGTGACTTCATGGATTTGTGCCAGGTTTTGTTCTGCCCGCCTCTAGGTTCTTCCAACCTACTCCTACACCAGTGAACATCGCACGTCGGGGCAGTCGGTAGTTCGGAATACGTAACACGTGTCCCAGCCATCTTAACTGGAGTTTCACTACTTCATCAATTGGTTTGCCATCCTTACCTAGTACCTGTTTCCTAACAAATGCACTAGTTACTCGGTGGTCCCAATATACACGAGTAATGTTTCGAAGACACCTATGATCGAATAGTAGTAACCTACGAATATCCTCTACTCTTACCGGCCATGTGTTACTATCATAAAGTAGGACGGGACGAACTGCTGCGCAGTAAACACGTCCTTTGGTTGATAGACGGATATCTCGTCTACGCCATAAATGACGCAAGTTGGCAAAAGCTAGTCGAGCCTTCTGTATCCGTGCTGAGATTTCGTCACACACCAAACCACAAGGGCTGATGAGACTTCCAAGATAAGTGAAGCGGTCGACACACTCAACTACTTCACTCCCTATCACTAGTTCGGGTGTCGATGCAACCCAATCCTGAAGCAACATTTTGCATTTCGAGGGAGAGAATCGCATCCCGAACATGCTTGCATTGTTGCTTAGAGTGGTCAGAAGACTCTGCATTTTGTAAGCGTCTTCACCAAATAAAACTATGTCATCAGCATATTCTAAGTCAACAAGTGAACCTCCCGGTAGAAGTTCAACCCCTGTAAATTTAGATGAGGAGAGTGTTATCTCTAAAAGTACGTCGACCACAAAGTTGAACAAGAATGGGGAGAGTGGACAGCCCTGACGAACACCACTTGAGGTAATCAATTCTGATGACAGTTCGCCATAAGCTCTCACTCTACCAGTTGTGTTCGAGTAGAGAGCCTTTATAAGGTTAATGTACTTCTTTGGTACTCGTTTCAGTGACAAACACTGCCATAGAACCTCACGATCAACAGAGTCGAATGCCGCCTTAAGGTCGAGAAATACTACGATTGTGGGGTGTCTGAACATGTGTCTGTGTTCTAGAACCTGACGTAGTGTGAATATGTGGTCTATAGAACCACGTTCAGGTCGAAAACCAGCCTGATTTTCTCTAGTCTGTTCTTCACGAGCTTTAGTTAGGCGTCGAAGTATTACTGAAGTTAATATTTTAGACACTATATTAGTCAAACTGATTCCTCTGTGATTGTCACAAGAGGACTTTTGTCCTTTCTTATAGACTGGAGCAATCAGTGATTGAGACCAGTCAGATGGGATTACGTCCAGTTCCCAAATTCTACGTAAGACCTCGGTTAATCTCATTGCTAATACTGGACCACCATCCTTAAAAATCTCAGGAGTAAACCTGTCAGGGCCTGCTGCTCTCCCTCGTTTCAGATTTCCTATGGCTTTTTCAACTTCGTAAAGGGACGGAGGACCTACATTAACTTGCCATTCAGGTTGACTAGAGATCGTGGGAAACCGAAGTGTGACTGAAGACCAGTTGAACTGATCCCTGAAGTGTTCTGCCCATCGATCCTATTGAAGATGGCACAGGTATTTAGTGTTTGACAGCGCTTTTACCAGTAACACCTAATATAACTCGTACCCACCAAGAGAAATCAAAAGACAGAATCGAGAAGATCAGAAGTTGTATTTGACGATTGCCAATATATCGGAATTGTCTGATCTAGTCTGGCTAGCGATTGCAGTAGATGTTGAGCACGGCGTTCCCACACGTGATCTGGTGCGGATGAATGACCGTGCGCCTTCAGCTAGGTGAGTCCACTAAAACTAATCTGGTCAGCATCCAATATGGAAAACTTACAGAGCTATTTATTTTGGGGATTTATTTACTGCTACACTATCTCCTGGATTGTGAATGTATAATATGTCCATCTTTTTCTGAGATTGTTTCGCTAACAGTTGAGCTCTTAATACCGATTTCCTTAACAAGCCTGAACAGTTGTCTGCTGTTACCTATTGCCGCTGCCTTTTCCATCTCTCTTGCTTTCGCTACCCACCACTGTTCAAGATCATTGCATAGGCTTCTTGTCAGCTTGCGCTTAAGCTGACTCCGCTAAGTTATGAACAATTGAGTTATACAACTTCCAATTTTTGCTTGTTGCCTCTTTCCTTTTTAATCTATAGACTCTGGTGACCATCAATGCTTTTTATTGGTAACTTTTGTATAGCATTTGCGTTTTTGGTAATAAGTACATTTATTAATAATAGGTAAATGACATAAACATCCCAGTTACAAGCTGATATCTTCTACAAATTGTAATTTGAATATATATTTCTATCTAAGGATATTCTCTTTGCAAGTTACTTCTCTATGTGTGAGTGGTTGTTATGTGATTTTCCCAATTCAGTAGCCGAGTGTCAGAAGCTATCATCACACCTTTTCTTGATGACCAATAATGAGATAAATTCTATGTTGTTCTTTTCTAACTACTGGCTAAACTTAAGTAGTAAACAAAGCTACGAGTGTTTTTTTCCGGACAACCATGAGAGGGGTTGTTTGATGACTACAAATCATTTCTTTATCCTATTGAGGTCAAGGGTATACTGTCTTTTAATTGACTAGATGGTCGATTTGAGACAAATATAACGAAGTTTGTTTACATATTTGTCTGTGTCAAAGTAATTTCAAACTAGTTCCAACTACTACCCCTCGTGATTAAGGAGTCTTCCAATGAACTGGTATCTACTGAAATTGAGTTTCATTGAGATCACGAGGTGGTCTAAGTTAGGCCTTGAAGCACTGGATGGTAGTTTCATCCTAGTATGGGATTCAGAACTGCGCATCCACAGTCATGTACTCAAGGGTCGAGGCCAAGACTCTCGGTCGCGCACGCAAACATTTAACCTCTAGATCACTAAGTTGACATCCGACGGTGTTGGGCGTTCGCGTTTGAGATCGAAAGTTTTGGGTCGGATTCCTACTTACGTGATCGTGAATGTACATTGCTATGAAGTTGCATACTAAGATGAAATAGCCAAAACAATTAGTTAAAATTTTGAAATCAATATTTTGTATAAAAAAACCCCCACTAATTTATCAGACAATAGTTCCTCACACCTAATAACGCTGACGGTTCCTTTGATTAGCTCCTAGAAGTTTTATTGTGTTCCATTTTTTTCTTAAAAATCTAAATTGAATGCTCGCTAAACAAACAAAAACATAAAAAATAATTTATGCTTAAAAATAAAAATAAATACGGAAAAAGCACACAAAAAAAGTATATTCTAGTCACTAAGGTCAATAACACTCTGTATAATTCTGATAAAAGGGGTTTAAACTAAGAAAGAAAAAAAATAAGTTACATTTATCGTTTTAACTTTCGAAATTTTAATTAATTCAAAGTTGTTGAAGTTTTGTGTGATTTTCTTCTCCGTTTTTTTTGTTTCTTGACAACATGATTAGTTTTCAAAAGAAAAAAATTTAAAAAATTCATTTGCAATGCAAAAATTTTCAAATATAAATTTTTTTTCAGATCAACTAAGTGATTTTTTTCGTTCTGATTTTGAAAAAAAGTATCAGAGTTGTAGTTTTTGTTTTGTTGTTGTTGTTGTGGTGGTGGTGGTTGTGGTAAATTTCAAAAACTGCACTGACAAAAACATATCCTGCAGCTAAACTGATTGTTCTGTCCAAAACGACGTGTTCTTTGACACAATCAAAGGTCGACAGGTATCCCTTTCATGTTACCACCAACTGTGTATACAAATTTACATGTATCTGCCAAAGCAGTTACATTAGTAGAAGAGAAAGGAGAGCCTACGTCCGATTCAAAGAACATATTCCGAAGAGTTTGAGATCAAACGGACTAAACGCACTTAGCAGCGCTGTCGCAAGACATCTTCTTGACACAGGACACGAAGTCGATATACTGAAGTCCTTCAAGGTGAGCAACAAACAATCAAATTCAAACCTTTTGAAATTCGCGGAAGCAATAGCAATCAAACGTTTAAAACCAGATCTTTGTATACAAAAAGAAACAGTAATAAATCTTTCCTTGCCCTGGTAACATCCACCCCACCCCCTTTTATTTTTATTTATTTTTATTACGTCATTTCAACTCTTTCTGAATTTTATAATTACATCATTCATAACTGACCAATTTCAATTCATATCTCTCTTTATTAACATTAATCTATTTTCAGTTACTTCATTACATAATCGTCTAATGTGTTTTAATTCCATGATTTCTAATCACTATTTCAATTTTCTGGAACCTTCCCTCCCAAACTCTATATATTCGAAACAAAAAATTTTGTGACCTCATTAACTCTAACGAAATCTTTGCTACATCATGTTACATGTATTCATCCTTCATCACCCTCTGATGTATAAGTATGTCAATATCTGTAATATCATTGATTTTCAAATAATTTAGGTTGTAAGCAGCTGATGAGAACCTAACGAAATAAAATGAATTCATATTGTTCTGCATCAACCTTTGTTCTTGCTCTCTTTAAAATTGTAATAAGTTAGATCTTCTTTATAACTTTAAATAACATTTTATTGTATAAACGATGTATATAAATAGTGGTTTTTCTTTTCTTATTACATTTTATATTATGACTATTTGTGATTTGGTATGAAATATATTGAGAATAGTTTAGAAAAATAAAACGTTTCATTTTGTTTTAATTTACATGCATATGGGATTTTTGCTTTTTCACTTTTTGTGATTTGTTTTCTCTTTTTCTTGTTAAATTCTTTATTAAATAAGAAAGATTAATTCAGTGAAGAGTTCTCTTTTCGGCGAATTCATTTTCAAAGCTGTACAATCGCAAATATACATGCTTATTTTTACAGGATGATAATAATACTGATAATAAACTTCTGTTAGACATGGTAACAGTGAGGTTAAATAAACAAAGATATTCAAAATTCTTTTTATAAAGCAAGGAAAGTTTAATAATCATTTGGTTGTTAATGGCTAAAGTATTCATCAAAAGATAGATAGGGAAATTATCATTGGGAAAGGATGGCTCAGCACGATAAAATGAAATGTTGAAACAGAGATGAAGTGTAATCGGAATGATCGTGGAGGCAACGGCTCAATAAGAAGTTCTATAATCGAACACCTTGTGAACATAGGTCATTCAATCAAGATAGACTCTGCGTTCAAAGTCATCTACAAGGTAAGTAGAAGTCTTCCTAAGACAATTAGACTGTGTCTTCTTTGCATTGCCGAAACATTAGCCATACATCTGGAAAATCCAGAATTGTGTGCAAAAGAGACTGGTAAAACCTCATCTTCTACCATGGTCTTAATGTCTTATAATTTTTTTTCTTTTTCATCCTCTTCTTCCTTTACAGCTATCTGCTTCACCTTCCATCTTCCCTTTAAATCTTCTACTCCCAACTGGTTTGTTTTTATTTCCACGATCATTCCGATTACATTTCATCTCTGTTTCAGCATTTCATTTTATCATGCTGAGCCATCCTTACCTGATGAATACTTAAGCCATTAACAATCAAACAATTATTAAACTTTCCTTGTTTTAAAAAAGTTTTTTAATACCTTTATTTATTTAACCTCACTGTCACCATGTATAACAGAAGTTTATTATCAGTATTATTATCATCCTGTAGAAATAAGTATAAATATTTGCGATTGTACAGCTTTGAAAATGAACTCGCCGAAAAGAGAATTCTTCGCTGAACTAACCTTTCTTATTTAATGTCTTAATTGGTGTATTCCGTTTATTAAAAAATTCTTTATTATTTACTGTTGCTTTTGTTTTCAAAGTCGCTTGTAGATTAGATATATTGAAGCGTTGAGTAGTGATTTCACATTTCATAAGAACTATAAAATCTCCTACAAATTTTGTTCTGATTTTAAGAACAGTTTAAAAGTTGTTTTTTTTGCATATTGTTAGATCATAGTACAAATTATATCATATTAGGTGTAGAATATAATGAGACTGTTATTAAAGACTAAGGTTCACTAATGTTCATGAATAATGTATCTTATTCCTTACTCGATGATGTTTTACAGACTTGCTACTCAACATGCCCATTTTAATTAAGAGAGTAAAAAGAGCCCTGTAAAATAGAAGAACCATTGGTTAACATCTACATTTAATTAATTGTTGTCTTGGTTTGATACCATTCATTTTGAAGAAGTATGTAGCTTACCACAAATATAGTATATAGGTATGAGTTATAGTACATTACAGTAGTATGTAAATCCAATAAGTTCTACCCTGAATAGATACATCTACATGGGATATTTCTTTTCACGATAAATTCACTTTAATATATTCTGTCTTTTTTATTGGTAACTTCATCTTGTAGATTTATGCTAACATGGTCAGTCAGTCTTTCAAAAAGCATTGGATTAAGTTATTTAGTAAATCATTTCAGTCAGTTCTACTTTGATAAACACAGTGTCGAAGGTCAATTATCTTGGTGTCACCTTTTCCTCTGATCTGTCTTGGTCTTCCCACGTTTTATTGTTATCAAAGAAGGTTTTCCGTCTGACTTACTACATAAAGAGATTGCATGCTCTTGGGATTACTCGTAATTTACTCTTACAATTTGTCAATTCTTGCATATTACCTATTATTATTTACTGTTATCCATTATTCTTTCCTGGGCTTTTGAGGAAAAACTTTTCTGTATTGCGGAGAGTGCTGAAGGCAATTAGCAAGATGTGTGGTGAATCTTTCGAGGTCATAATTAATATGGTTGTGGATAGACATTTAAAATCATGCAAACTCCTGGCAGGTGTTATTTTATCAGATACTAACCATCCCCTTCACTCTTATCTTTCTCCTTGTATATCTTCTGGTAGAACGAGACGTAATTACATTAAAATCCATGCACGCAAGCAAAAGTATAAAAGTTCTATAATACCGTACCTAGCAAATATACTCTGTGATGAACAGGTTGTTAGTGTTAACCTAGTCAATAACTTGCATTCTTAACATGTCCTTAATTTTAAAAGTTGTACAGTTTTTCGGGTTTTTTTTCTTTTTTTTTTTTAAAAAAAATTTCTCTTTTTTTGTATTTGTTACTGTGTTTTTTTTGTTGTTGCGTAAGTAACTTGTTGAAATAACCTGTGTTGAGAATTCTATATTGTACCAAAACTATAATA